AGATCAGCTAACAGTGGACTGAAATTACCTCCTTGTGGTACTCCTTTGTTTTGTTTAAATATATATTTGCCAAATGTGCAATAACTGTTTTTTAGCAAATAATCTGTGAAATATATTAAATCAGCAGGTTTGTAATATCTATAGCTTTTAGTTGTTGATTCACCATCTGTATAGAAGACGTGATAGCCATTAGTGGCTTAGCGACTTATTAGCATTCTTAAAGCAAATGCTTAAGATATGCTGTATGTTCCTAATGATGATGTTATGTTCTAAATTAGTGAACATGTCTGCGAAATCTGCTGTGTAGATTTTAAGATTTTCATATGTGATATTGTTAAGATCTTGACTTATATTAATGTTATTTATAGACCAATATGTTTTAATTGTTCTGTTTCTGTTTTGTATTACTTTGACATAATTAACGAAGTGATTTTTTATGTGCGTGAAAATAATATGTAATTCTTGTGCTAGAGGTTTTATGCTACTTTTATGGGCACCAGTAATATATCTAAACTTTATAGGATTTTTATGTAGTTTAGGTAACGCATATATAATAGGCAGATCCGCATCTGCAAATGTATTAATATTATTTCTAACACAGAGGAACTTGTGTTTCAGTATCAACGAATACTTGTTATCGCATTGTACTGGTTCATAAGTATTGTTAGTGTTTTCATTAATATAGATGTGGTTGTTAATATCATATGTGATGCCCATTTCCTTCATTATAGTAAGCAAGTAGTATTTTTTGCAAATTATTCCATAATTATTGCTAGCTTTATCAAGGGGACAAAAGACGTAACTGTTTTGATAGCGTTTTATTAACTCGTACGGTATGTGTTCCCCTTTATTTCGAATGTTTTCACTTTTTAATAGTGGTTTTATTTTATCATGGTAACATGTGTGTAGATATTGTTGCAGAAGATCTACTTGTTGCGTGTTAGCCTTATACTTGCTTTTGAAAATAAGAAATAGCTTTGTTGACTGTGTCTTCATATACTTGCTTGACTTCTGGTCTGGTTATGCCATTGTCCAATCTATATTTGGTTCCTTTACTCATGATTCTTTTAAGCTTTCTTCTTTTATTATGTTCAGATCTCCTGTTACGATGTGTCCATGCTTATCATTTACATATTCTTGTACTGTGTCCTCTATACAAGCACAGTTTCGGTTGATTATGTCTTCTAATTCTTCGTTGGTAAGATCTTTCAACACTCTGTTATAATTGCATATTCTACTTGCTACTGGATTATTGTACTATATCTTTAACGGTGTGTGAGTTGAAAATTCTGTTGAAGGGTATCTCGTTGAAAATCCTGCTTTTGAAGCTAACTTCTATATTGTGGAAGTTCTTTTTTGACGCTTTGACATTAACTGTGTCAAAATGAAAATGAGCCAGTAGGCAGAATTTATACGAATATTGTTATTAACTGTTTCGAGAAAGTCTACTGACTTGATAGATTCACTATCTTGTCGACTTCTTTTCTTCGTAGACTTTTGAGTAACCTGTAGTATTGCACAGGCTTGAACTCTCCATTACTATTGGTGATTTCTTCCAAAGCTCTTTTGGAAAGTTATCCCTTTGTTCTTTCTTTTGTGTCTTGTTCCTCTGTTATTTCTTTCTTTTGTAATTTTAAGTGAGAAGAAGGGATGGTTTCCCTTATATAGAAGAGGATTGTCTACGTTTGTAATGTTTCCATAGCCTTTGATGTTATCGTTCAAACCAAACGGATATGGTGTCATTAAGAGTTTAATCCAGAACAGTTCCTTCTCAAGTAAACTGGTTTTATCATTAGGTTTCATACAGTCAAGTATGGTTACAGTAACTCCTTTATCACATTTATAAAAATGATTGTATAGGGGTGTGTGTACTTTATGTAGAAATATTAGTTAAGTGTTCCCCTATTCTTTCTTTGAGTTTTCTTATTGTCATCCCAACATATTGTATTCCACAGCCGTTGCATGTTAAACAGTATATAACATTTTTTGTGCTACAGTTTGCATCTGCTTCTTTATACGTATTGATGTGCAATCCTGTAACATGCGATACGATATAATTGTCAATATTGGTGATGCTGCATGTTCTACATTTTTTGTTACACTTGCAACCCTTATTGTTATTTCCGAAATCGTTGAGTACGTAATGGCCGACCCCGTCCCTTACCTTACTAAAGTTTGTTTTTGTGAAATAATAAGCTGAGTTTTGAGCGTTTTTTGACCTAGATCTAAGCGCACGCGCGGCCAAACACGTGTGCAGAGGGGTGTCTTCCCGAAGGTTTGGCAGGGCTGCTGCCCAGGGGATGGCTCTCCCTGCATATAGACTAGCGCTGGAGGCGCCAAAAATTGACCCCCCTCGCCATTTTTGACTTGTATAACCCCATCAGCGCCAATCCCTATTTTTAATAGGAGGTATGGCCCTCCTTTGCGTATATGTAAATTGTTGTGTAAATAAGTGTTTGGGATTATGTTATAATGAAAAATGAAAAAGAAAGAAAAGTAAATGAAAAAACGCGCGGGGATACCAAATGAAATGTATTGGGTTGCACTATACTATAATTAGATATGCAGCAAGAATATGAATAATAGCTTCAAATGGCGATATAAGACTGTTGAATACTATTATTACAAAATGTTATGAGTAGAGAAGGAAGGAGATGATATATGAGTGATAGAAACGCCTGTGGGCGCAGAAAAGAACGTCAGTGGACGCAGAATCGCCATCGGCGCAAAAGAACGTCAATCGACGCAAAGGACCAAAGGTCCAAATAATCACCACTGGTGCAAGAGGCTACTGCCTCATCAAGAGAGTAGAATAGATATGAATGAGTAGATTAAATAAAACTATAAAAATAAAAATATAAACCCGTATGACGGAACTGGTGTTACACCGAAAACGGGTTGCCCTCGAATTTCGGTGTACACCAGCGCTGTCCAATTAAGAAAGAAAAACCATTATAAACAAAATAATAGATACGGTTCGTTTCGCTCCTTCCTCAGACGAACCTTATTATTTCGTCAATCCCCGGAGCTCATCAGTGAGTTGGGATTGGCGAAATAAAGACACAGGGGAAAGACGAATAAACCTTGATGTGAACGTACTTTCATGCAGAGGAGCATGCAATGAAATGAATTGTATATTGACTAAATGAATGAAAAAATAAGTTGATTAAAAATGTAAAACTATAAAGTGTAAAAGGTGGGTGTTTGTAATTGTTCCACTAACAATTAGATAGCACTTTAGTGACGAAGTATTCCTTCCACTAACTTACTAATATTTTTATAATTATTAGCAATTGAAAATTTGTAACATATAAACTTATTTTTATAAATGCACTTAACTATATTAGTTATAATAAAGTTCTCATGGTAACCATTTCCTAGTAACACTCTTATGAATTCTGTTAGTTTATCAGTAAATGTGTCAAAAACGGAACAAGTGTTAGCTATTCTAAGTGTTTCAGTGTATATGACGGAGCCTTTATTGTTTATGGAGATATTTGTGTCATTGTGTGGGAATCTGATGACCTTGAACTGAAAATCATCTGTTTTGTTATACAATCTAGTTACAACTCTGTCATTTATTATACTAATTGTTAGATCCAGATAATTACTAGATGTTTCACTTAAATGTGTTTTCTTCAATTCAAGTGTATTCATGTACACTTCTGCTAGATGTATGTCAATATTATCCTCGGTTTGGTTATGTATTACTAGCAAATCATCCATATATCTGAATGGAATGAATAACTTATTTTTATTAAACTTACACTTATTGCATAATTGTATTCCATAACGGAGAGGGTAAGATCAGCTAACAGTGGACTGAAATTACCTCCTTGTGGTACTCCTTTGTTTTGTTTAAATATATATCTTGCCAAATGTGCAATAACTGTTTTTTAACAACACGACTCTAAGCTTGGTGATAGCTGAAGATTGCTTGACCACTGCTTGATGCGGAATGTACTTGTATTCGCGAGTCCTCCGATTGACGTTCCTGGGCTCCTCGATAATTCCTTGTCTGTGGTAGTCTGCGAGCGTTTCCAGATGTGTGGTTTGGCAATGAGTGTTCGATATTGGCTTTCGAGTCTCCCACGAGCGAATACTTTGTCGGCAGACCTGGAGTGCGTAGTCTTCCATGTCGGTTAATTACGAAATATTTTGTAAACGTTTAGTTAAAAAAAGGAACACTTAGGAGTTCCAATTGAATGGAAACGCGTTGCCAAATTTAACGTATTCCCCCTGGATGAGGATGTGATGATGAGAATTTAGTTGCGGAGATGGAGGAACATCATGCAGAACGATTGAGAACTGAGTACTGTACTTGTCATAGCTGGCAGTGACCAGTGATATGTGTCGATTAATGAAGGAAGGATTTGGACATGTAGTCTGATAATCTTGATCACAAACAGCTCAAATTGAAGAAAAAGTAACACCAAAAAGACTCATCACGGACGTTAAGCGGCGGACGACATTGATAGTGAGATGTTTGCGTATGTGGTGACCTCAGCTCATAGACAGTTCTTACAGCTTTCTTCAGTGTGTGCGCTTCGGTGCTCTAAAGAAAGCGATAGTCGACAAAGCATCCAACTATTGCGTTAGCACGTGGTGGAGGTCCGTTTGCTCGCTTTCTTGGCCACGCGCGTATTGCTAACTAAAGCGATTCTTTGTTCTTGCACAAAAGGTATCCTCCAGATTTATTGTATTATCAAAATACCTACGGTTATTGAGTAGGTTATTGCGGGGTTATTGCTACAGGTTATTGAACGAGCCGCAGACCAGAGGTTATTGCACGCACAGAGGACGAATCCAGATCTCACATATCTTGCTCTCCTTATATACGGTGGCAAGCTCCTCGACGACACCAAGAATGATAACATAACGCAGCCTGTAAAAGCTTTTAGCAAGAGATCAGCCTAAAGATAAGAAAAACGCATATGAAAGTATAAGAAAAACTTTCTAACCGTATTGATTGATAGCGTAGCTATACTCCCGGCGGCTTATTGTTGACGGCCTCTTTCCCACAGCTTCCTCTTTATTTTCTCAATTCTCGCGGCAATTCTAGGCTTCTCATCTGAGATCGTGCAGAGCGCTCGATGATGTCCATTGTCTCAAGGGGTAAGCCCCCTTAGAACCGTATTGCGCACAACACTGCAGTACCAGCACTGTTCAGACTTCGTCTTACACACCTGCTCGAGATCGCAGTCCTTCAAACAACATTCGCACAGGTTTTCGTCTAGGATAAAGTTCCATCTGTTCATTCCATCTATTATTCTGGGACATGAATCCGAACAGTGATCATCATGTAGTCCACAGAAGGTACATGAAGGGCATCCCCTAGCCTTTACGCCGATTTTTCGTTTTGGCAAATATTCGTAGCTATGCTGGAGCTCGGCTAGTTCTTTTTCCATCCATTCCCTATCTTCGTCTCTCGACACCATTTCCGCCTCTCCAGGTATTTTCGCAACTTGATCTTGTGCTGCCCTGCTGATACAAGGCTCGTCTTCCTTTCCCTTCGCAGTCGGCTCACTGTGGTCCAATTTCTTCCTCTTGGCTGACGCCACCTCATCTTTGTCTTCCGGCATCGACACGCATTCAACTTGCTCATCGTCATCATCTTTACTTTCCTCAATTAGCCAGGCGAGGTATTCTTCGTCTGATAACGGCTGCCTTTCCCCATTCTCCTTCGCATGGTTCCCCTGCAACTCATCCTCTTCTTCCGGTTCTAGCGTCTGAATTTACTTGAATATCGACCTTAGGGCGTCACCTCTGCAATCTTCTGATCTACGCATTTAAAAGGTCTCTTTATTTTGGAAAAGCATCTTTTCTCCTCGTTGAGTATCTTCTCAAGTCTCAGCAGCTCGTCTTCCATTTCTTCAGTATTGGTGTGCAATTCTTAAGGTTTTTTCAACCTTGTTCTGGATGCTCCCAACTTTCATTTCAGGCACTTCCAGATTACTTCGTTTTTCCTGTGCCATTTGAAGAAAGACCACATCAGAAAATTGCTTGGCGGCAGATAAGAGTTCCTCTTTGGCACTAGCAGCACTTCTGAGTATTCTATACAAGAGGAGAACTTGTTCTCCAGCTCCCGACTCCGAGCAAGTGTGTTGCATGATATGGTGTTTCCAGTTATTGCTGACTGCGTAGGCCACCTTGATGAAGTTGCGAATGGTGCCCACGGCACTTCCTATCTCTTGCTGGATATCCGTTGTCGTTGCTTTGTGTAAGCTGGACATTTTCGAACTCATCTTTGTAGTCACTGTCATGGCGAAGGTTCCTGTAGCAAAGATTATCGCAAAATCGATAATAAAGTCGTTAATGAAAAAACATCTAGATTAAAATATATAATTGCCCAAATCTTCCTTGCAAAGTTATTGCCTCCCTTTCCAGATAAGGTTATTGAAAAATCTAAGCTATTGCTGTTTATTGTGACTAAGTCTGACCACTACTGAGCCGAAAAGTCATCATAGTTGGTAACAAATTTTTACTATACTTATTGCTATCCGCATAATCAGCCTGAGTAAGCAAAAAACGATGCGAACTGGGCAGCTGGAGAAAATGGAGTATGTGGCTAATATAGGTATCAGGGTGATTATTGCTGCCGATATAAGGGTTTTATACCACTGCAAAAAAAACAGTTCCTATATGGCTAAAGTCGGGCCACTGGAAATCGGATATTGCTGTGGGGTCCCCGTTAAGCCATTGCTGTATGAGACCTTGTGCGGATGCGGTAAATTTGAGAAGAAGGATGTCACCACTTTCCCACAAGAAACCGTGCACTCTAGGTAGACTCTAGCTTTTGATAAGCTGAATCGTAATTCTCGTACTCCTGTGGTATTACATGGGATCGTAAAAGGTATTGATCCGCATAGAACTTCTGCTAGGATGTTGTCTCGAGATGATACGCAAACGACTGAGGGTCCCTCCTTTCGAGCAGTCATAGCAGCGTTTGAGCTCACTTGCAGCTACCCGACATCTTGCTTCGTCAATCAAGATCTCGGTCTTGAATTGATCCTGGAAGCTTAATATGATCTCCGACAGAGTCATGCTTGAAACTGTAGCTTGAATCTTCGATTGTGAAGATTGCCGGAAGGTTATTGATGGAAATACCGCAGGTAAGTGATTGCGAAAATTTTCGAACCATTCTCTGACCAAGAATTCCCCACAGTCACAGCTCTCCTTCGTTTCTGCTGACGTGCACCTGCATTCATCAAACACCGGGCAATGAAGTGCTTGTGCCTCGCTGAAACTCGAACACTGCAATTATGGTAGTGCATTACTCTTCCATAACGCGGTTCCATTCCAATTTGTTCTGAATGGAGTGCTCAATAGGGGAAGAGGAGGCATACTCACTGAGGAGAGGGTTATTGTGAACATCTTACAGTATGTGGGTACATTAGGGAGCAGCATTATCACATGGGTGCTAGATATTTTCCTCGCTGCATCATAATGCGAGATCTCCACCTTAGCCGTTTCTGTTCATCTATTGCAGTGGGGTGCGTGACTATTCAATCGTGGCAGTAAGTAGGTCGCCGCGCCGGCCGCCGCAGCCAGCAATATCGCGGCGAATTTGCAAAGAACTCAGCATCCAAGCATTGGGGAATGTAAGATTAGATCATGTTTCCCTTCATGAAACATGGAATAAGAACCACCTAACCTTTAAAATGCAGTTTCGTTTTCGCTCGCCGTTATTACATACTTATCATATCATGCTTATGTTAGAGCCTTCCTCGCCGCTACTCTGTGTCTTGATACGCAATATTCTTTCCGATTGAACCAGATTATCACTCTCTGATAGAAATTCAGGAAACTGATTAATAAAGAAGTCAAATTAAATTCAAAAGGACAACCTTTACACGGTACAAGGTTTGTAGAGCGAGGCTTTAATCACTGCAGGGATCTTACAGTGAC